AATTAAACCTTTTCTTTTATAGTTCAAGTTTAATTGCCCTATTCCCTTATGGAATAGGCTTGGGTTCCAACCCAAACACCCCTTGTTTCCAAACACTCCCATTTAGATATTTTAATTTTGTTTATCATTATCTCAATTAAAATCAATTAATATATATTTAATATATTAACATTTAACAATAATGATAATTTATTTAAATATATGCGAACACATATTTAAACGTAATCTCACTTATTTAATTTTTCTAAAAAATTAAATAAAGCCTACGACCTTAGCAAATTTAATTGTACTGTGAAATTACCAAAATACCCTTTCGCCTAAAAAGACGAAAACGTCATTCTTTCTTTCTAGCTCTTAAATTATTTTCTATGTGTGTGACCCGTAGGCTCCTTATCATACCGGCAGTGTGTAGTATCGCGATTAACACCAATTAATCGTCTCACTACACATAGGCCAAGATTGGCTCCTAGCAAGGCATCATAGCCACCCGATAGATTCAGATTCAGCGAAGTAGCTACCTGTCAATGATATGGGCTTCGTTTGGTTGGTTTTTGGGAATACTACTTTTAGTATTCCCAAAAAAGTTAAACAGTAAAATACCCAAAAACTCACAATATTATTCAACTTTATTCAACTTTTTTTAAACCCCCTAAATTTGTTAATTTAATTAAATACCCCTAAATATTTTTTAAAAAATTGAAAAAATACCCCAACAATCCACATTTACCAGATTCCGGCCACCACTGCCAGAAATTGGTCGAAATCTGGTAGGATGGCGCACTACTGGCTGAATATGGCCGGTAGTGCGCCGATCTATCCTTTTCCAACCAGATCCACAGTGGATCTAGCCGGAAAAGGCCAGATCTAAGGCCAAAGATCTGACCGTAACCAATCGGTCACGACGGCCAACAAACGGTCGTCGTTGATGGTCAACGACGACCATTTGTTGGCCGTCGTTACTGAGCAAATACAGCCAAATCTGGCCATCAATGGCCAGATCTAGCCGTAGATCTGGCCGGAAAAGGCCATATCGACGCACAACTGGCAAGATCCAGCCGGTCATGCGCCGATACGACGACTCCGGCCACCCTCTGGTGGTGGTGGCCGGCTGTCCGTATTTGAGGGTGGGTTGGGGGTATTTTTGTTAACTTTTAATGTTTTATTATAGGGGGTGTTTTGTAAAAAACAAACATAGGGGGTATTTTATTAATTTGTAAATCTTACATCGTAATACCCGCTCAATTCAACTTTTTTTAAACTTTTTTCAAAAAACTTTTCCCAAAAACACAAAATTGTGAACCAAACGGAGCCATGGTTATTGTGCAATCTAATCCTTTCATCATCCGTTATTTCAACGAGACTGTGGCATAGAAATAGTGTCAACCTCGGTTACTCTCGATATTATGTATTCAGTTACTAGACCAATGACCTGTATTATAAACTGGATAGAGCAACAAATCAATTCCACTGTGGCCACAGTTTTAGTGTCATTACTATTTACTGAATTGCGCCGTGAGATAACTTCTCCTGTACCTGGGAGTGATGAATCCTCTGTCTATCCACCATAGTCTTGATACACTCCTTGATGCAGCCAATCACCACCGTATTGACAACTATGAATAGAATTGCGTTAGGCTAGTATCAAACTACACCAATCGGTGCACAAGGCATTTTAGTGATCTCAAGTCTAAGGATCATATGCACCACCATTCGTTAGAGGATTTGTTCCATAGACACTAGGGTTACCATCCATATGGAATCCTCTTATGGGTCAGTCTAGTGAACTTGCCTACAGCAAGCACCCATGTGTTGCACCAGGTTATCACCAAACAACCTTGACAAGTGAGATCAGTCACTGCCTTTCGACAAGGTCGTTCAACACTATGATAGCCTTACCGTATTATTTGTGCCCTTACATCAGAATAATACGGGGGCTACGGACGTTTCTAGAATGACCACCATATATGCTCATAGGGTTCTTACTATCAAGATTTGAAACACTTGATACTCTTGTCATGGTTCTACCATTCGAAGGACATATATCAATACATACAATGATGATTTACGCGATATAGTATAAAACACCTTTTATTGATCAATGAACATTATTACAAAGAGTCAATTCTACAATAATTGATTGGCTCTAGGGCATCTACTCTAACAGTCTTCGTGTGGATATCGAGAGTTCACCCTTATCTTAGAGTGGGAGTGATTCGTATCGATTGAAGGAGCCTCCAAACGCTAGTATGAAATCTGAAAATTTTATATTCAATAGCATTTCATATGTAAATAACATAAATCGGGTATAAGGTTCTTGGGTTCAATGTTGTTGTTGGGGATTTTATTTTTGTTTTCTACTGCATAAACCCCATCAGCGACTAACACCTCACATGTACGGTAAGGCGAAATCTTACTCACTTCCGAGGTGAAGGCGTCGGTCTCCTAAGCTACATAGAAGAAAAATTATGAGTCCCAATGCGGGACCTTCTTCGGGACATCGACCAGCCCGTTGAAACGTACCTTCTTCGCTTTGGAAAGGTAGTACGTCTGGTCTTGCCCTTTTTTTAGCCTATACAGATGGACGAGCTCCTCAACAGATGGCTCGCCCAACTTAGTGATCATGTATGCTATGTATAGAGCGGTAATAATTACATAGAAATTTGTGGAAAGCTGGAGGGGAACGATGTCAAATCGCTTCAGCATGTTGTCAATAAAAGGATTGGGGGGGGGGGGGGGGGGGGGGGAGCCGGGGGGGGGGGGGGGGGGGGGGGGGGGGGGGGGGGGGGGGGGGGGGGGGGGGGGGGGGGGAATGGATACCCCTCGTCTCATGAAGGTCTCAGAGGTTGCCACCCATCTAGGCGGGGGATTCTTTCAAGAAATGTCCCCTGGGGCCATCAAATTAAGCTATGGCGCATAAACCTCTCTTATACATTTTAGATCCCCGACGATAATCGAGGATTGTAGCTCTCTTCGCAGTCTATGGACTATAGACCGTGCGGGTTCGACCAACTGTATCAAGGCACGGTCGGAAGAGCTCGCTGCGTTGGGGTCTGAGCTTCATGCGATGATTTCCTCGGAAACCTCAGGAGTTGAATCCCCAAGGATTATCAAGCCTGCGGGCGAATCGAACATGTGGTCAATTATGTGACTGTCAAAAGAAGACATGGTTATAGCTCACTTCGGGGTACTTTAAACAGAAGCGAACAAATGTCAGAGCTCAAAAAATTTGGCGACTATTTCACGCTTGCTTTCAATTCAGGCACCCAAGATAGCTCGCGCCATGCAACGAATGCATGCGACCTACCCCAGGTTCTGGCGGCCACCGCATTAAACCCTCCTTAAACCCAAGACCGCCGGAAACATATTCAAAAACCCTACTAAAGCCCTAGAACATCTAATGTGGCCACGGTAGTAGCCACCCTTTAACGCAAAAACTAGAAAAATGAGTAAAGAAAGGGAAAAGAACTTTATCGGAATGAAAGAAGTGTAGAAACTCACCGGAAAGAGCACCATGACGATGACGAAACAACAGCAAAGTGGACAAAGACATCAGAGAACTTTTGTGGATTGAGTGAGCATTTTGACGATTTTGCCACCTTTTATAGTGGTTTGCATGGAAGACGAAAGGGCGGGGTTTAATTGTAGCCATCGATTTATAGTGAATCTTGACCCTTCATTCGTCGAGCAATCTCGGCCCTTAAACGTGGCCACGTGTCATCCATCTGCAAAGGGCGACGAACCGTCAAACTGTTACACTGACAACCGTTGTCGTACATCTCCTTAACTTCGTACGTGCACAATTGTAGTCTCCCACGTGCGACGAAACATGACTAACAAAGGCTGCCACATTTAATGCGACATGATCGCTTGGAAATTATGTATTTGCCTTAACTTTTCATGTTCTAAGTTTGGTAGGTATCGCGAGAAGTAAACAAGTCCAAACATGAGGTCGACCCTAGAAGCTCGATTGAACCTACATCCGGAGACCTGTTGGTGATGTTGAGCTTAGCATCAAATTGAACAATAGTCTTCGAAGCTCGAAATGAGCATTGAACACTAGGGGGCAGATGTTGTGTGTGATTTTTTCATCAAACTCGAGCTACTGCGAGGATATAACCCAACCCAGTATCAGTCCAACTCCATTGATTGTTTGACCCAACATAAGCTCGTTAACACATAGCTCGACCCAGCATAAGCTAGTCGCGAACAACCCGAATGATCATTCAATTAATTCCCAGATATTGCGAGAATGACTAGATCAACATCAATCTCTACGCAATCACATCGCCTAATCACGAGAATATTGGAATTGCAGTTTAGATCAATTGTAATCCCTTTATTTTCACTTTTTCCCTGTACAAATCTTGTATATAAACCCCCCTTAAATGATGAAAAAGGGGTTACAATTTTCACACAAAATTCTCATTGTAAGCTCTCATAACAAATAAAATAAAAAAATGGTGGACGTAGGCTCAAGAGTTTACCTCACGGAACCACTTAAAAATTCTCATTGTCATTTATTTTATTGCACTCAGTATTTGTCTATCGTTGATTACTCGTAATCACGCGCACATCCATTCTGATCCCATCAGTGTTGATCGAAATTCTCTAGTTGGTGCATATAGCTATATCAACATAATATAATCCTATTCAAAAACAAGAAATTGTATTCGGATTAACTCAGCCAGACATTAAGATAATTACATTTTCCAACTAAAGAGAATTGCTAAAACGCGTTGTCAAGCAGAGGAGGTACACATGAAGACGACGACGTGGCAGGAAGAAGAAGATCCCTGAGTCAAAAGCTGCCTCGTCACTCGTTCACTGAGTATTGGCCGTTCAAAATAATGTTTTGAGGTAAATATTCAAATCAAATCCTCTTCAAAAAATACCAAAGAAATCCTAAAAGAACTGGCTAACCAAGATAAATACATAATATACCCTTTTCCAAACTCGAGAGAAGTAAACTGAGGAGGTAAATGTAATTTAACCCATTTTGAAATGGAAGAGATGGAACGATGACGTGGATCGAAGCAGAAGATCCGAGTCAAAGCCTCGTCACTCATCCAGTGAGCATTATACCAGTGGATAATCATAAACGATCACACCAACGCCACTTCTCTCTCATTGATTTCGATCTTCCCAAATGATTCGCTCCGCCATCTCCAAGAAGCACAGCCTCCTCTCCTCCATAACCAATTCCCCAATTTTATCATCATCTTCTTCCTTACTAAACCGAAACAATAGTCAACTCAACAATGCCTCCGATCACGTGACCAATCACTCATCATCCGCTTCGTATCACGTGAGTTCAGGCGGTTACATGCGTGGAGCCGTCTTTTGGGAACCGAATAAGCCTCTAACGATCGAAGAATTCCACCTGCCTCGCCCCAAAGCCGGTGAAATTCTCATCAAAACCAAAGGTAATTTCTCGTTTCTCATAAAAATTAACTACGAATTTGTGTTGAATTGACATTAATTGATGCGATTATTTGGTTTAATTTGTGAAGCTTGTGGAGTGTGCCATTCGGATCTTCATGTTATGAAAGGTGAAATTCCCTTCCCTTGTCCTTGTGTTTTGGGGCATGAAATAACTGGGGAAGTTGTTGAACATGGGCCCCTCACTGACTCCAAAACCACTCAAAGGTTTTCTACTTTTATTCTACAGCAATCGAATCGATTTTTATCTCGTTTTTGGTTTTTGAAAATGTTTAAATTTTAGGTTTTTGTCTTCAGGTTGCCAGTTGGATCTCGTGTTGTTGGATCGTTCATCATGCCTTGTGGCAACTGTGTCTACTGTTCTAAGGTGGTTATTGATTCATGAATTTGGACTGTTTGGATGGTGAGAAAATGAGAGAAAATCTTTACAGAAGAAGTCTGATAAGAAAATTAGAGAGAAAATCATTCTTAATTATTAATGATCGTAGTAATTCTTTTTGTGTGACTTTGCTGACTAGGCAGCTGACATGTCCTTCATAAATTTAGGCTCCTACTACTACTTTAAGGAATGCTGTAAATGATAACATCTTTGTCGAGGAATTATATGTAGCGAATGTGATTGTTGATGGCATTGGTTTCTTTCTTTTATGACAGGGCCATGATGATTTATGTGAAGATTTTTTTGCTTATAACCGGGCAAAAGGAACTCTTTATGATGGTGAAACTCGGCTTTTCCTAAAATATGGTGGTAAATATTCTTTGCTGTAACTTTCTGTTTGGTTCATATAATTTATATTTTGGTTCTGGTAAAACTTGCAAAACTCTTTGATGTTGTTAGTCTTGAGTACCACTATTTGTAGACATTTCTCCTATTGTCATGTTAATCTGTTGGAAAATTGAGGGTGTGGACCATCACCATTATAAGTGAATTCAACTGTTTATTAAAAGAAACTTGTTGAATTTCAAAGCTGCTATACATTTTTATTTAAAAGCTTGCATGTTATTGCTATGTAAATCATTTCATTATAACTATCCATGTTGAAACCTCTATTTCTAAAACACTTAATGGGCTCCCTGTATATCATTCTGTTTTGCAAGATTTGTTTTTTCTATCTGTCCCTTTGCTCTCTCCATGATATTAAAACCCATAGAAGAATGAAGTATAGTGTCAGAGTCGGCTTCAGCCTGTGACAATTTGAAGCAGTTTCTGCCTTAGAGCGCCACTAAGTAATTTGGCCTCAAATAACATATCATTATATATTTATTTTATTTAATTAAAGTAAATACTTATTTTAATTTCCCATTTAAGTTTAAAATTCAATCGATATATTTGGATGTTCATTTGAAGGTTTTTTTTTTTTCCTTAAATAATTTCCTTTTGCAGCAACCTACTCTATTGGAAATTGAAGCAAATTAGAATTTTGAATGTTATTTGACATGATATTATTTTTATCTCTGGGAAACAAATAATCTTAAAATAATTGTTTACTATTCAAAATATCAAACTTTTAGATAAATAAGTCCTCTATGATAACATCTTTTAAATTTCAATTTAATTACAATTAATAAGTCCTTTATGATAACATCTTTTAAAACCCAATTAAAAAAAAAAATTCTTAAAATAATATTTTGCTATTCTAAACTCAAAATTGACGCTTACAATTCTCCATTTTAATAACGTGAGTTACTTTTTATTTTCCTATTTTTGATTTGATCACTTCATACCTTTTTTCTTTTAACCTGTTATTCTCAACTGATACTGATTTTATAATCTCTTTATAAATACGGTAGATTTTGGTTGAAAGTTAATTCTTACTACTAAATATGTGTAATACAATGCATGAATTTGGATATGAAAAAGCCATGAGAACCTCTGATTTAAATTTGTGACTCTGAAGAAGATTATTGAGGAAAACCTAAGACATCTTATGATACCTACCTTGCAACCAAAAATTTTAGCTAACATCTCCATTTCCTCAACCTTAGTCATATGAACCATATTTCTTTCACTTAAATTGACTCTGAACCATCTTTCTTTCACTTAAATTCACTCTGAAACTTGACATTGCATAAACACAGGTGAAGAAAACAAAAGCTCTCTTCTTTTAGAAAGTACACCATTCCTCGGCCATTTGACATTTTCCCAATCATCATAGTACTTTCGTCGCTAGATAAACAAAAAGGGGATAAAGATCTCCCTTTCTCAAATTTTGGAGCTGCTCAAGAGTTCAAATGGACACAGATGCATTAGCTACTTGCTTTGTAAGTGTATATCTATGCATATACGTATGCGTGTGTGCGACCCTACTTATCATCTTCCATTAAGTGTCTCCCTAAGCATCTTGGGTGGTGTTCCCATCAACAAGATAGACAAAAAAAGTGATAATTGATATTGCTTTCAAGCTTTTGGAAATACTGAAAGAGCTATATGCTTACCTCCATAGATGCTTTCTACTTGGTAGCCATATGTCCCTTGGTATGTGTGTGATCCCTACAACTTGTTTACATATCATCTTTATTTTGAATGTTTGTTTGTGTTTGTTCTCATGACATACAATCCTTTTATACAATCAAGTAGTTTTGTTTCAAAAATGTTGTTATGGTTCATAATCCTTTAGTGGTACTGTAATTCATGTGGACTGCTATACATTTGCTTCTACACAAATCTCTATTTCCGCAATGTAATACTTGATCCATTTCCAACCAATTCATCAACACAACACACTCCAAAAATCAAGTAGAAATTCGGCCAAATTGGAAACATGAACTAAAGCACACTTACTTGCAAATCCAGACCAAGACAAGTAGAAACACTTCAAGCTTAAAGGATTACTCCACCAACTTGAATTGATTCACCACCAAATCCTCTTGTCAAGACTTGGATAAATAATGCATTCTCAAGAACACACAAGTTCTCTCAAATGGATAAACCAAATTTCATATATTTCATAAACTAATTGTTACAATGAAATAGTTGCTCTTATATAGGCAAATACAAGGATAAACAAGTAATTGACAAATACATTAAAATGAAATAAACTTAACTAATATTACAAGTCATTCATTCAAAAAGCAAGGCCATGCCTATTTAATGCAAAAGAGATATGATTCCCTAATTCAAGGATCCATGTCTTTAACCATCCCATTAGTTGAAATAAGCTTATTTCATTAGATCAAAACTTGATCAATGATCCTAATTAAGTCTACTAATAAGGGTGTAAGAATTTGGGCCTTGAGAATCATGCAAATGGATCCAATAAGGGTTCATGTGGATCTTTTCCTTTGGAATGAGACTTGGGCCGGATTGGACCTTTTCAACACTTGGACTTCTTTCTTGGTGGACTTGAGCTTCCCTTGTTGGGCTTGGACTTGGAATGGTTTGGGCTGAAATGCTTGGGCTCTCTCCCTCCTTGGAACTTGCTTGGGCCGAATTTCCTTCATTGCTTTCCACATTCCACAATCCAAGTGTTTTAGGACTTAAAGTGAAATTCTTCAATTCAACTGAATTAGCAAGTGTTTTAGGACTTACAATTCCTTGTCTACTCATGTTTACAAGTGTTTTAGGACTTGTAAACATATCAATACTATGATGAAAGTTTCTTGTTAAAATTCAGTGGTTGAATAGGGTTTTAGGCATTTGGTGAGAATCCACTTTGCAAGTAGGAATACCTCTGGTCTTGTTTGAGGCAATGTGCCTTTGACAAGATGGCTGTAAATATTCCCTGAAAAATTGGTCTATGGTTGATTGGTATGTGATTAGTAATTGTTGCTAGCACAAGGACTTCTTCCTCAGTCGAATGCTTTGTTGTTTCTTATTTTTACCTTTCATGATAACTTTGACGGTGATTATTTACCTCTTTTTTTTTTTTTAATTACTAAAAGATATGCTTCATCATGTAGGAAAACCAGTATTCATGTATAGTATGGGAGGCATTGCTGAATACTGTGTTGTGCCAGCACATGCGTTAACTGTTTTGCCGGAATCATTACCGTACACAGAATCTGCAATTTTAGGATGTGCTGTGTTCACAGCTTATGGTGCTATGGCTCATGCAGCTGAGGTTCGTCCTGGTGACTCTGTGGCTGTGATTGGAATTGGTGGAGTTGGCTCAAGGTAAGGAATAATATTTTTTGTTATGACACAAACTTAGCTCCTATAATCTGTTTGTCAGTTTTGTCTATCGTTCTATATGACACTGGATGATTGTGAAAAACATTTTTTTTCCAAGCAAAATAATTTTGATTCAAGTACACAGTTTCATTAAATCTAAACATATCACATAGAGTAAGTCTATCCAAAGACAAACAATAGTTGAAACTGGATGATTGTGAAAAACATTTTTTTTTCCAAGCAAAATAATTTTGATTCAAGTATACAGTTTCATTAAATCTAAACATATCACATAGAGTAAGTCAATCCAAAGACAAACAATAGTTGAAATTGTTAGAGACGAAAAGTTGGTCATGACTTACAAAAGTGTATTATCACATTACCCCAGATTTGCTATGCATCAAACAGAATGTAAGATTAATGAGTCCTTCCTTGATCACTTCCACCTCTATTCCTCTTTTTTTTTTTTTTTTTTTTTTTTTTTAGGTTTTCAATTCCTGGAAAGTAAATCGACAGTTTATTGTCAAACTGCTCTTTGGATTTCTGCAAAGAGTTATATAATCCTTCCTTCCATTCCCATATTTTTTATGACTAATTATCTTTTCTGTTTAAGTTGAAACATATTACCTATAAGAACTAGCTTGAGACTAGCCAATTCTATCCAACTAAAAGAACAGGAGCATGAGGTGACTGCTTGTTGAGTTGATATAAACCAAGGGGATAACAGAAGCTTTCAATTAACTTTAGTGAGATGCAGAAGGCAGTTTAGCCTTTAAAGCTTTGAGGGTTATGCATCTTCCGAAAGTGAGTTTAGGGTTTTCCAAAAGTATCATCAGTGAGGACGTGGTTCTTGTAATAACTTTTTAAAACCTTGGATGCAGTAAGGGAATTTTCATGATTCTAGAGGGAGTATTTGTCAGGATGCAGTATTATGATAATAGTTCATTTTCTATCCAGTATGAAGAATTGCAATTTTATTAAGTTTAAGTAGAATTAGATTACAGAACAAATGAGTTTGTTTTCTTGTTGTTAATGAATGGTAAAAGGAAAAATCATGTGTCCCACATTTAGAAGCCAAGAGATACACGTGTAAAGAAGAGCTGTTCGTGAAAATCTGACATTCTGATATTTGTGGCCTGATAAAAAAGTCTTGAATTTTTAATAAATGCCAATATGGACCTATGTTGATCCACCATTCTCCCTCTTATTCGCTAATTAGAGCCTTAAAAATAGAAACTTCTTAATAAAGAACTCATGAACGATGTTAGGGATGTTGGAGGTCTAAGTTTAAATTTGAAACTTCAAGAGTTAGTATGCAGAAGAGATAATGATGAAATCATTTTGGGTAACTAAAATGTTATTTGCAGGGATTAGTTGTGCGAAAGTCACATGCAATAAAAGCAAGGTTAGCATAGGAAAACTGGCCAATTCAACCCTCAGGATACATGGGAAGTTGCAAGGGTAATTTTTTGAAAAGCAATTGTAAGACTAGACTGATGTTTTTTCATTCATTTGAAAATATGTTGAATGGGTTTAATTCTATTAATATTTTTAAAGTTTGGTCCTATATTAAATGGTTTTTAGGGTTAAATAAGCTCATCTATGATATTAGAGAAAACCTTAACTCGGTTACCAGTTTTATATTATGCAACTCAGTTGAGTAAATATGGAGAGATCAATTTCAGGGTTCTTTTAGCAAGTTAATAGAAATATTAAAAGGTTAGGATTTAGCAATTTTATGCAATAGGGCTTTGGCCTGACAGGGTGGGTTGCAACTATCTTTGGAGGGAAGAATGGGGGTGCCAGAAGAGTACTTATGATGGGCCCTGAGAGAAACCTAACAAAAAGATCAAGCCATGCCTAAATAGGAGGTATACTGGAACCATTCATGTGCTTTGTTGATTTTGCTACTAAACAAATCCATTGGCAAGCAAAAGTCTTGTTGCAATATGAAAGGTGCTATCTGCACAATATAAGGTGTTTAAGTGATATCTGCATGAAGACAGGGTTCTTGAAGATGCATACTGGACTTTGCTGGTTGGTGCTATCAAATCATTATCCTTTATGGCTGGAACTGATGGAAAAAGAGGCTAATTAGTCTCTTTCATCATTTTCCTTCCAAGGAAGACTAATCTATTCAGCCATGTAATGGTGGTTGCATTGTTCTCCCACTGTCAATGAAATGAAGCTCCAAGTGTAGTAGTAATAACTGACAAATTTTGGACTTCTAGTGCATAGGAGTTGGATTTGGAGTTGAGGTAATGATATCTTCATTGCTGGAAGCAACACAGATGATAACATGGGCCATCAATGTTTATTGTGCTTCCATAAATTTTAATTTTTGGAATAATGAAATAAATCTACTTTCACATCCTCATAAGGATCCTTAGTTTGATTGGGAGCACAAAAACTAGACACATATCTTTCCACCTGACATATTTGAGTAGATTTATGTCCAACCTATTTCTTTGTACCTATTTGTAGCTGCTGTATTGACAATTTTTTTTTTTTGGTCACATCATGTTAATGATCTATATGTTGTATTTTAACAAAATTATAGGATAAATAAATTTGAATTATAATTATTGTTTCATCAGGTTTCTTATCTACACTAGATAGTGAAAGCTCCTTTGAGGCCTTAACAGTACCGTCCTTGGTTTGGGTGGTCTTTCATCTAATTTAGGCGCATGTATTGGGGATTTTTGGTTTCTAATCTAAAGCCTGAATGCATCTTGATGTAAGTAGGGTGCATTTGGGAGCTAGGACGAGATTGGTGACTGGACTAATTATTTGGGATTATACTGGATTGGATAGGGCTGCAGTATATATATTGATGTTTTGTGTATATTGTAGTATTGGATTGAAGAGGACTGCATATACTAACAAATAAAATAATTAATTTGTTAAAAAATAATTTCGGAGTTACTTTGGGTGATGTAAGCTCCATTTCAGTGAGGCCAGCTCCAACATAATCATGACTAGATCATATGCTCCAGTTGTTTGCAGATAGCAAGAGCATTTGGGGCCTCTGATATTATTGCTGTGGATATCCATGATGAAAAACTGCAGAAGGCTAAGACTTTTGGTGCCACTCACACTGTGAATGCTATTCAAGAAGATGCTATTGAAAAAATTAGAGTATGTGCTCAATACGTTTCTTTAGGTTTTTAACAAGATGTGGAACTTCCACTTCAAATAATTAATTTAATCTTGTCTATTGAACTGCAACTCTCTCCGTGGACTAACTGCTATTTAGTTTCATTTTCTTCTAAATAAAATTATTTAATTTTCTTTTTCTAACTTAGTTATTTTTTAAATGAAATTACTTATGCTGCTATATTTTCGTTCACTTGCATAATTTAGATTTGTAATTTTTTTTCCCATTTTGTTTGCCAGAGAGGGTTGTCATAACCATAGATTTCTTTTGCCGTTTTCGAACTTGAATCATGTCATTCTGGTCCAACAATTTTTTCGCTTGTTTTCCTTGGTTGTATCTGATTTTCTTCTCTCTCTCTTTCCAGCTTCTTTTTTGGTTTTCATTTTTCCGTTCTGTAAGTTTTGCTTTACTTTTGTTTCAACTTTTGTTTTCTTACTATCTTCACCTTTGCATTTTTAATAACATAATCTTTTAGATGATCATAATTTTGTGTTTGAATCCATTGTTGTCTTGTTCTTTTAAGTTCAAGTTGTTTTCACCTAGATAATTGAAGCCAATGTAATGGAAAGCTATTTTATTTGAATCTTGAAATGTTTTTTGATTTTTTTAAATATTTTACATTATGGAGTATGTTAGAATGTATTTTGATTTATGTGATAAGTGATTAGACTATTTGGATTTACATAATAAGTCCTTTGCTTAAACTTGGCTGTTCACAAGGGTGGGGTTGTAGGTTTCAAATTCTAATTGTCATCTCTTTATTATAATGTTAAACTCTTTGCATTAATGTTTGTTCAACATTATATCTTTTTTTCCTCTCTATGTTCCTTCAATCATCTTTTCGATATGGTAAGACAGACAAAAAGATTAAAAAAAAAAAAAAGTAAGAAAAATCCTGAACCTTGTTCTTTTGGTAAGTTTTCAATTAGCTAAAATGGAATATTGGACTTCTACAAAAGTAAAAAGATTAATAATGATTTGGAAGTAAGATAATCTAAGAAGTGGAAGTTTTTTGTGGTAGATTAATATATGCCTTTTTCAGATAATCTCAAGATATAGCCCAAAATACCAACATATATCCAAAGAACTAAAAATATATAAAAAATTGTGGGTAAATTTTTGGACACTTGTAAGATTTGACTGAATGACAAAAAAGTCCAATGAGTTCCAAAAATCATTAAAGACTCCATTAAGGTTTAAAAATTTCATTAAAAGTACCTCCTATTAGTTTTGGCTTAAATGCTGTGAGGTTACGTGGTTTTCACTGCTTCTTGGGTTATTAAACTAGATGGAAGAAGAACGATTTGAAGATTTTTTGAGAGATTAATCTGTTAGTGAGAGTTTGATTTTTAACTTTTTTTATGCCTCAATGTCAAAAGAATCTCAGGATACTTAGTTTCTTCTTTATCCACCTTAATCAGTAAATGGGTTTAAGTTAATGTTATGCCCACCTTGATAAACAAAGGTGTTTGGATTATAATTGTACACGTTGTGTCTGATTTTTGATATATGTGAGGATACTAATTTTGTGAATTATTTTGAGAGCTGCTCAATTTTGAAATTGTAAAACAGCACTTAGCATTTTTGGATGACATGTAATTTTTTTTTTCGATTTTATTTAGTTAAAACAAGTTTTCTCTGTTTCTGATTAAAACATGTATATATCTGATCGTCTGATGTGTCAAAGTTTGCAAATTATGCTCTTTTAGTCATGCCAAAATAAGAAAGAGAAAAAAGGAAAAACCCCAATTTCTTTATGAACCCGTTTAGTGGATCATATTTTGAATGGTAAAAAATCATTCTGAATAACCTAAATACTATTCTTGGCATGGTTGTTTCTACTTGAGGAATAAACTGGTAAATTGATTTTCGGTATAGGGCCTTTTTTATACTAAACCTCTAGGTAACTACATTCTTGATTCATTTAACCTTCTTTTTAAGGTTATCATCAGCTTCTTATTAACATTGTTTTTGGCAGGAAATAACTGGAGGACTGGGTGTAGATGTTGCTGTGGAAGCCTTGGGAAGGCCTCAGACGTTTTTGCAGTGCACGCAGAGTGTCAAAGATGGAGGGAAAGCTGTAATGGTTGGACTTACACAATCAGGTGCTGTTGGGGAGATAGATATAAATCGTCTTGTTCGTAGAAAGGTATGTATTTTGTGCTGCATAGAGTCATTAATTACTTTGTAGTTTTCAAAAATCAATTTGGTAGAAACAACTGTATTTATAACACCATTTTGATTTCTCTCAAATGCACATATTCTCATGGTTTACTTTTTCCTTTTTCAAGTACAAGAAATTAGCATCGTTAGTATAATAAGAAAAATGAAAGGTGGAGAAAAATAATAGATATTTAGGTAAGCTTTATCTGCCAATGTAATTTTATACCCAAAGATGAAATTCAAAAAATGTGAAACTTGTAAAATCTAAAAAGAAAAAATGGTGTTAATTTCTGCAGGAACTAAATCTACTGTCTCCTTGTTGTCCTTGTAATGTGTTATAGACTGTTATGATTCTGTAGTTATGCTGTTGTTAAACCTTGGTGTATAATGTTGGTTGGACTGCTTGCACTAAATCTACTGTCTCCTTGTTGTCCTTGTAATGTGTTATAGACTGTTATGATTCTGTAGTTATGCTGTTGTTAAACCTTGGTGTATAATGTTGGTTGGACTGCTTGCAGTTCTGTGAGCTAAGTTGCAGTTCTCAGTAGTAACTTCTTGGTTGCTGACATCTCCTTTGGGTCTTGGCCTTTGTTTCAAAAGCTTTTATATATGTATATGTATGCATATATATATGAATTGGGAAGGCGTTTTGGGTTAATGTGTATTTTGGTTTATTTATTATCTGGTATGAGATTATGCAGATTTGTAGTATTAAACTTCGAGAGCTAATTAGAATAAAAAATGTAAAGGAGACTTCTCTTATCATTTGGATGACCATGTTCTGGTGGAGAACTTGTTTGATGTCCCTAGTTCTTCAGAATAGCTTGTTATACCTATCTTTTGTAAATGATCCTTCTTCGTTTTTTATATTATGAAAAATAAGAATATTGATCCAAACAAAATAATGAAATAAGTTGATCAAATATCTGTGTGTTGGAGGACTGGAAGATTTGAATTTTATTTCTATTTTCCATTATTGCTGACTTGTCATTGTTAAAATTTCGATAATAGGGCTTAATTCTATAACTATGATGTGAAGGTAAGTCTAATATATTTATACTTTGAAAAAGACGTTACACTACAATTTACAAAAACTACCAACCTGAATATTTTTCTTCTCTATCGCAATGAAAAGCACATACCTCAGAATTTGATGATTGTAGTACTTCTTTATTGATCTATATATTTGTGAAACAAAATTACCTCAACCTATCCTTGGTGTTCAAGTTTTAAGTTGGGCTCTGTACTTGATGATAGTAGTTAATGATAAGCACATACCTTAATATGATTGTAGTTGTTGAAAACACATACCTCAATCTTTTAATACCCAAAAATCCATTGACCTCTCCTAGATATTCACCTGTTTGTTGGAATACTCGATACGTAACTTTGTGCATTTTGGAAAACAAATCTACCTTTGAAGAAACATTTAAGAAACCGTGGTCCTTTAACAAATTTATATCCTCAAAGTTTCATAGCTTTTAGAGCTGCTACAATGCTGGTACTTTATCCTGAACATTTTCATACTCTGAGCCAATTGTAACTTCCATAGGTTCTACCCCATCATAACTTCTCTTAGACATTTTATCTGTTATTAGCTCCCTCCAAACTAACTACACGTTAAGTTACTGGTTTCTGTGTCACAACTCCTTGGTCAACATTTTGTATTATCTATTCTACATCTGATTTCTTTAATTTTTTTAATGTCTATGTACTTTATATGGTCAATCAATAATATAAAAGTGTCCAACTCCCCTCTTGTTCTTTTTCCTATATCGAGTCTTCAGAGATGATGCAAATGAAACCTTGATTGCAATATTTTAGAAGCCAATTTGCTATGTGGATCTGGGAAGAATCTCCCTTTACAATTATTCTTTTCTCCTCTAGACCACAATATGTCAGCTACTATCTTTCTTCTTACATTCTTTCCTATATTCACTCTTTTCCCGGGATATTCTTTTGAGAATTCTCTTTTAGGGTTCTTACTCTATTTTTTCTGTATCCCCTTGCATGCATGATTTACCTCCTTTTATGTTGGAATTATTTTTTTTCTCTTTGGCGGTTTTTACTATGATGTCTTAGTTTCATTTCTCAGGTACATTTGTGCATAATTTTGTACTGTATATTTTAAAGGTGATGACATTAAATTCTTGTTAACGGGTGTGGTCCCCTTGACTAGCCAAAGGAGTCTATAGGGGGCTAATTGTTGTATGAAGGTCATTCACCTAGCTTAAGACCTCAACTCCAATGATCTATGTCTAGTGTAGGTCTGTGATTGATTACACCGCATTCCCCAAACTGGTTGGGGTTGTGCTAAGACTAAACCAAAACCAAGGATTTTAAGCCAAGAGGATTCTCAAACTCCCTTGATTTCTCTTATTTAAAATAATCTCGTGGGTTCTCTTGATATATAAGCTACGTGTCACACTTTCAAGGTGGCATGATTTAAGGCACCCACACATGCCTGCCTTTTTTTCAGGCTGCCATTATGCCTAGGGGTCTGACGTTTACCCAAATGAAATTCAGTCGTTGGCCTTTGGGTGTTCCAAATTGGTGAATATGGTTGATGAATAAGTGAAGGGTGACTTTGTATTTGTCTCTTATTGTGGTAGTATGAGGGCTAGAATTGTATGGAAAATTAAATAGGGACAAATGAGGGAGTTTGAGAATCCTCTCGACCTAAACTCTCTAGAGCGTTAGAGGGCTAGATTGGACTTCAAACTATCATCGTGACTAGTTGGGAGAGAACAGGTATTATAATCCATGGTAACTACTGATATAACAGTTGGAAGAAATTAACAAGTTGGAATTTCTTGGGATAGAGGGTGATTATTTATGAAAAAAAAAATATATATGGTGATTACAAAGGCCAGGCTTGTGTTGCAGCAAGAGTGAGATGATATCACAAACTCAGATCAACTCTTTCGCATATAGCTTGGTAATTGGCCAAAAAAGGACATTATTTTGTTCTTCAATTCATTAGCATGGATTGAATTGCCTTTGCTGCAGAATTGATGGCATGCCTGCCTTCCTCTTCCTTTTTGTCTTTTTTCCCCTCTTGCTTTATTCTTTCCAGAAGCTTCCATTTTTTTTTTTTTTTTTTTAATTCTTTGTTGTATTTTAGATGATTTCATAAAATGAATAGGCTCTCTGGGTCTTCTCACTTGCATTTTTAAGTTGGTGACGGCGCTCAGACAAACTTAGGCTTTATCAAACTTAGGCATCAGCTTAGTTTGATCTCGAGTTGATCTTGTTTGTTAATTTCACATTACCTTTGCTTTGACAGGTTCAATTCACGTTATTGCAATCATATACTTGGTGTGTTTTCTGGTTGTTATCATATACTTGGTGTTTTGTCTGGTTCATTTCATATTATTACAATCATATACTTTTGATCATTTCCAAGCATAAATTGAGTGGCAATATGTTCCATAACGATTTATTACTGATCTTAATGCAATATTCCCTTGGAGCAGATAAAGGTGATCGGTTCCTACGGGGGCAGGGCTAGACAAGACCTTCCCAAATTGGTTAAACTTGCTGAAACAGGTGTTTTCAATCTAAAAGATGCCGTTTCAAGAAAATACAAATTCGAGGAGGTTGGCACAGCCTTCGAAGACCTCAACAAGGGAAGCATTATCAGTCGCGGTGTAGTCGAGATAATGTAGACTAAAAGCACCTCTTCATTAATCCAGTACAAGGTATTTGTTTGAATAGGTCTTGTGTTCATGTTTTGTTGGTTATTTCTTAAAAAAGTATTTCAGGTATTCCTCATCACCAGTGTTCTGGTTTGCCCCTAATGTGCAGCTTTTCTGATTAGATAACAACCATCTTTATCTTTGTAAATCAATTCTTTTTAATCTTTTTATTACTCCCTATTAATTTAACTTGCGGCAGATTGTTTTTGCAACTGATTTGTGTTGGTGGTATTTTAGTATATTCAGTGCGATCGTGACTTGATTTTGTCAACTATATGTAATTTTAGAATATTTTTCCAATTTTAGATTAGGCATTTCGAGTGCCTTTGAGTACTGGGGCATTGATTAAATTATGGTAACTAAGTTGATACTTAACATTTAAGCAAAAATTGTTAGTAAGTCGTAAGTCGATATAAAGAAATGTTATTGATTTAAGAGTTTAATATATATGTTTAGGGTAATTAGATTAAGGGAAAATTACATAGACCTACCTAACCTTTTAGAATTAAAATCTTTTTAATTTAACAGTTGAGTGATAAATTAGTCTTTCAATATCTGTTAAAACATGCTGCAAATAATTCAAGCGAGCATCAGCTACGTTTCACAGTTAAGTGGCAATTAAAGGAACCCTTGCAACTCCGGTGAACAAATCAGAGGCCTTCTAGCAAGTCGGTTTTGCATGCATACCATGCCATGAATACAACACATCAAGGGCAAGTTTTTACCACTGTTTTAAAAACCGGACCGGACCGGGAACCAGTCACGTGTTCAGTTCGAGTCAAAACCAAAACCGCTATAATGCAATGGGCCGCTTTAAACCGTTTCAAAACCAGACAAATAGGTCGGACCAGCGGATAAACCGGTTGAAATTTTAAAACCCCTAAATCCCTAATACGCATTGCAGCTTCTTCTTCTCTGTTCTCATCTTCTTCTCTTTCTCAGTTTCTTAAGAAAATTTTGCAGCCTATTCTCTGTTCTCTGCGAAAATTTCTCACCTTCTTCTCTGTTCTCTACGAAAATTTCTCTCTGAAATCCCACCCAAATCACAACGGAACTCTCTGAAATCGACAACGACGTCTTCCTCCCTTGCCGAAAATTGACGACGACAGCTCCGTTCCTCGCTGGAAATCGACGGTGACAGCTCCATTCGTTGACGACAGCTCCATTCCTCGATCTAGGTAATAAACGCGCCATTCCTCGATCCAGCTTCAATAATCAATAATGATTTCGTTGCAAACTTGATCTAGAGCAATGTGTGTGTGCATGTATTTCCAGATTATGTATTTGAATTCACCCTGCTCCTGGTCCTGAGTTTGTTTTTCTTTTCTAGATAATCAAATATTGCTTTAACCAAAACCATCATGTAGATAATCCTTTCATTTGAAGTTTGCATGCCCATTTGAAGTTTGGTTTTGGAAGCAGTGAGATCGGGACGAAATTGATAGAAGTAAAATTATCATCATGTAGATAATCCAGATTATGTATTTGAAGTTTGTATGTGCAATATTGCTTTAACCAAAATCATCATGTAGATAATCCAGATTATGTATTTGAAGTTTGTATGTGCAATATTGCTTTAACCGAAATCATCATGTAGATAATCCAGATTATGTATTTGAATTTCGTACTTGAATGTTTATGTTTTACTTCTATTGTATGTTTGTGGATGGAATAAGGACTTATGACGACAATATGTTGCATGATATATATACTTAGGTTTCTCATGCAGTTAGCCTTTCTTTCTTTCTTTATCAATCGATCTCATCAACCATGTCCACTACATTATATACTTTGGTTTAACCACCACCGAAATCTTACAAAAGAACACTAAAAAGCAAAGTTGATGTGGGAAAAAACGAAGGAAAAAAGATACTGAAATGGAGGGCTGTGATTGATCTTATTTGTAAGCATATTTACAAATGGATTAAAAAGAGAACCAGAAAAGGAATATGTTAGATATAAAAGGAGTTCATGTATAAGGAAACAAAGAAAACATATTATTGTGTGGTTTAAAAATGTTTTTTTAAAATGTGTTGACGTCATCATGATGTGTGATGACATCATCGGTCCAACTGACGGTCCAACCGGTTGGGCCGGTTGAACCGTGACCCGGCCTTCAGAGTGGGTTGCCTTCCGGTCTGGTTTGTAAAACAATGCTTTTTACTGGGGAAGTGACCGCAAATTCAGCTAACCGAATTGCATAGCTTTAGAAACCGACATTGAAAAATTAATTTTCTATTTAATTGAACTTGAACCAACCTTGCACATTCTATAAATAGGTCTGGCTACTTCCTTTTGAGAAAAGCACCAAACACTATGATTTGAGTATTGTAGGAATGAGAAATCTAGCTCCTAAAGTCGTGCTCTCGCCTTGATATTATAGAGATTCTAGTTTATTTCAACAAAAGGAAGTAGTATTCCTAGCCGCGCTTGATCATTGTTGGGCGTAAGTTAGGGGAGTAAGCCGAGTCGAGTTGCTCGTGAGCGAGTCGGGCTCGAGCTCAGCTTGGTAAAAGCTCGAGCTCGAGTGGCTCGACTCAACAGGCTAGCCGAGTTTGAACAACCAATACTTGGCTCGTTGGGCTTGCAAGCTTTAGGAAGCTCGAGGGTATATTTGATATTTTGAAACTAATAAGGGGCGATATGTAATTTTTTAGATTTTAAAATTGACAAACACACCCCTGTCGACACCTAAGGTTTGAGATCTATCAATGACATCAGGTGGGAACTGTGCAGGTTGCTAGTTTCAGACTTTGGGGCTTGGGCTATTGTCAAGTATCAAATCACTCATGACTTTCTTTCACATGAATAGATATAAATATTTAACCTAATATAAATATTTATTAATATATTTTAGGCTTTCCCTACTTTGTGTGCAAAGAAAGTTTCACTCTTTCTCTCATTTTTCTTCTCTACTTCACAAGTTCTAAGGGTGTAATCGAGTCGAGTTTTCGCCTAATCGAGTCAGGCTCGATTTCTACAATAACTCAGGCTCAAGCTTGGTGAGCCTAAAAATCACGGCTCAAGCTCAAACTCGTTATTCACTCGAGCTCGACCAAAGCTTGAGTAATAGAAAAGATAAAGATGAAGAGCAAAGCAGCTTGGCAGTGGCTAGGTCGGTGGGGTTTTTCGTCGAACAGGCGGAGTGCGACCAATTCTTCCACAAACAAAATTAGTCAAATTGAACAAAATCAGTCAGAAACCTTGCGACTATGGTTATCGGGGAAACAATTTTCACATTGAACAAACTATGCTAAAATCATCACCACACAATAGCAGATCAGTAGCGAGATGAGGGGAAAGAAAATAAAAAAGAAAGAATAGGAAGAGATGGGATGGAAAACTAGACAAAGATGGAAAACAAAAGACGAAGAACAAGAACAAGAAGAGATGGGATGAAGTTAAAATCGTAAAAGAGATAAAGAAAGAAAAAAAAAGATAAGAGATAAGGGAAAAAAAGAAAAAGAAAAAAGAGTAATAGCAGAGTCGAGCCGAGCTTTTCAAAGCGAGTTTCGGCTTGTTCAAACTCAGCTCAAGACTGTGGCCGACTCAAACTGAGCTAGAGTTTTTGACAAGCCAAGCCTGAGCCATTTGCGAGCAGCTCGGCTCAGTTGATAGCCTATTCACAACCACTTGTTCTTCACCTACTTTTCTGTCCAACACAACATAAAAAGCTATGGAGGATCTTATATTCTCTTTGTCTTTGTCTTCTTCCTTAGTGTCTCTAAGACAAACCACAAGCAAAAACAAAAAAACTCTTCCACAAAATTCTTTTTTCCGTCAAGCTTCGTGTGGTTCTTCTTTTTAGATTTTCATTCTCAAATTTTATTAAACTCAATACATTCATGTATAATTACCTTCCAAAATGATAATAGGTTTCAAAGTAGTTGTTGATTGCTATTAATATTGTTGTTGTTGTTGGTGTTGTTATTGATTGGAGACTGAGGGACTAAGCTTTGAAGCATGATAATAGAGGTCTTCTAGAGGGGAAGAGTTTTCAGGAGAAGTAACAAATCATAGAAAACACCTGCTCCAAACAACTCTTACTTGAGCATCTGTCGAAGTCGAGTTGGCTTGAGCTCGAGGCCCCCTATAGTGTATTGAGTTCGAGTTCGATCTAGTTTTCCCAAGCTCCACCGACTCAAGCTCGAACCTGAGCTCGATATTGTAGCAGTCAAGCCAAGCTTGAGTAGCCAGATACTCGACTCTGGTCGGCTCGATTACAACCCAAGCGTAAGTATATGTTTGTTACTATTGTCGATTTAAGCACTTATTTGTGTTTGTCCTGGTGCCAGTATTCATTGATGAAAAATATGATTATTGGCACGTTGAAGTGAGGACATTTTCAGTAAAATATTTATAGAGGTAGTCAAGTTTGGGTTCAACGTTTTAGAAGAGACATCTAGCTTTAAAGAATAGATAATCTTGAAGATTACATATCAAGATTACAATTTTGCTGTGAAAGAGTCAAAACTAATTGCCACAATTTTTTTCCTACTATCAAGGGATATGGCAGAGAGTTTTAGGATTGCCTAGGATTTCAGTTTTATTTTAAATAGAAAATTAGTTGCTGATTTTATGTAAATGGTTAAAAAGAAAAAAAAAACCAGTATATATTGTAGCGATCATTTCATGAATAGTAATGCAGAAAAGAGGGAATTTCCTTCATTCTTTTTTCTTTACAGATATTATTGGAAGTTAACCAGCAAAAGGATCAATGGCTCTACTTATTTTGCAGCAAGTGTTATGAGACGATATACTTTCAAGCATTTGTGGAGATACTAGTGCCAAAGAAGCTTAGGATATCTTGTAAAAGAAGTTCTAGGGCAACGAAATTATCTGGCCTTTTTAGGAATCTATCGGAATGTCGCACTACCTGTTTGATGTGGCTGGTTGTGCGTCGATTTGGTCGTTGACAGCCAGATCTGGCCACATCTGGTCGTTTACGTCCAAACAACGACTAAGATATGTCTGTTGTCAATGGTTAGATCTTTGGTCTTAGATCTGTTTTAAATAGGTTAGATCGGGTCACTATTGTTCTGATCCAATCGGTCGTGTGCCATTCTGTCAACTTTCGGCTACAGTCTGACGATGGTGACTGGCTGCTAACATTTAATGGGTAGGTGGGGGGTGTTTTTGTTAATTTTAAAACTTTTATTGTTGGGGGTGTTTGGCTAGATTAACAAATGTAGGGTATTAAAAAATAATCTAAATATTTTCAAAAAATTTACCAAACACATTTTCAAATTCAAATCCTATTCTTGTAATAAC